TTCACCTGATATCCTGTATGTTTGGATGGAGCCTTTCCAAGCTGGACTGACAGGCCTGTGTTTCCAACAGTAGGGCTGTAAATGATGCCCATGTAAAATTTACTTGCTGTAAAAGGATGCCTGTCATCATATATTGTTTCCGTGCAACTCATTTAGTACATTTCATCAGACTTGTCATACTACTACTTCTCCTTCAGTCTTGGGCACTTAGAGTGTGCGTTAGCCCTGAAAGTTGCAACATTTAATAATTTACTGCAAGAAGAGGAGATTAAGATTGTAAACTTCTAGAGGACTTGCATCGTATCCTGCAGCTGACTGCCCGTGTGCACTAGTAACCGGCGTGAATTGCGTACCTGGCTGCTCTGAGCTAAAGGCAGTCCAGGGAGACTCTTCTCCTTCAGTTACTTTGAGATACTTATGGATACTTGGACATAAATAAAATGTTTTGGATTCCAGTTAAGATTCTTTTTTCTGTCATCTTTGTTTTACATGCCCTCAACAGGAATTGCTGAGGCTTCAGAAAAAAAAAAAAACAAAAACTGTTAGTGCTGCTCTTTCACTTCCCATTTGAAACAGTATTTTGTTTATGCTATCTTGAGACTGATACATCAAAAACGCTCCCAGTTACACCATTTCTGTCATGTGCAACTTTACTTGTATGAATAACTCTACCAATGTTTTGGGGAGTTTTCACAACTGATTTTTTAAGTGGCGGCTTTCATATTGATCCAAGGCCCTCTGAATTGCAGGGCTTAAATAAAACCATCTTATTCACAGAAAGTGATCCGTAACTAGATCCTATTTCCGTGTTTCCTTCTATTTTAAATTGTGTTGTAATACTCCTTGTAAAAATTTAATTCCACTGCAACGTGTGACTTGATACCAGAATTAGCTTCTGGGTAAACCATTCAGTTAATTACTGAAACTGTGATCTCAAGAGGGAGAGCCAAGAAGGAATGCAAGATGAGTGGAAACGCTTTAATTAATACACAAAAACTTAGACTAGTCTAAGGGAAGGGATAAGTTTTGAAGGGCAAATGCCAGCCCAGTTGTTAATTGCAATGATAGTATGTGACCGCAGCCCAGTTGTTAATTGCAATGATAGTATGTGACCGCTGGTATTGTAGGGTTGTAGCCATTTGTTAACATACAGATTGGTTGGAGCCCTGCATGCACACCTTATTCAGAGCTAACATGCCCTGAATTTCCTTTATTTTATTCTGCTTCCGGAGCGGGAATCAAAACCCTCCAAGGAAAGCTCTGCTGGAGGAAATTTTATTTTGTTTTCAGTAGGATTGTCTGTGACTATTGTGAATGGTTTGTGAATTGGCTGTTAAAAATGTATCCCAGAAACTGCGCTTGCTGCAGCAGCTGTTTTCTCTCCAGGGAGCACTTGTGCTCTGGCCAGCAGATGGCTGAACTTCCCACACGCACTACCTGCTTGGGCCTGCAAATCCCTCTTGTGTCTCATCCTTCCTGCTTCTCTAGGGAGTGGGTGTGATCAATTTGCCCCCTCAATGCCTTCATGTTCTTCCTTATCCAGAGCTCTGTATCTCTCTGCAAGTAACAGTTTTTCTTTTTCCAGCGCTGCTGTGCCCAGCTTAAGTGGGATGCGTGGTGCCTTTTGCCAGTCGGGCTGCCCTACTGCTTCCCCTCCATAGCAATAGCCCTCAGCAGCCGCCTCTGCCTTGATGCTCTCCCTCAGTTTTCTGCCGTGTTCAGCTTTTGCATCATCCTGTATACTGACATTTGGTGATACAAAAACACATATAAACGGAAGCGTATATGGGTAAAAATAGGCTTGCATGCATTCATCCGTATTCGTCTTTACAAGAAACACGTAGATTTTTCAACTGTTAGCTCTCAATAAGACATTAGAAACTGCATTTTTTTCTTTTAATCATTTTTCACCAGTATATCATTTGTCAGTATTTGAATTCATTGAAATGTGTTTCTGATTTTCATCTCCTTCTTCTTACCTCTTCCACTTTTATATAAAATATAGAAATAAGATTTTGAAGTAATATAAATTCTAGCTGTAGGATTGTTTCTGTATAGCCCCTGATCTTTGGCTTTTTAGAAATGTTTTTTATTGCTTTAGGTATATGAACTTTCAGGAAATATTGGGACTTACTTCATATTTTAACGAAAATGTGTCAGTTAAATATATTCTAACAGGAAAATAACTAAAATGTATAGTTGTCACAGGCGAATGAGATTAAGAAATGAATTTATATGGTATTTATATAGATTAGTCATTTTGACCACTTTGCCAAAATTTGGCACTTCCTCCTTTTCTCAGAAAAGATTAGGAGATATCCATATGCATTTATTTAAGCATTTATATAACTTCCTTTTTAATGTTAGAAAAAGGTGCAAGATTCATTCTTATTCTTCAAATGGTTATTCTTAAATTTATGATTTGTGTCAAACTATTTTTGACTAGGAATTAAGCCAGTTTAAAAGGTACAAAAACACATCCCTGGTCTGTTTTTATTAATGAGATCACAACTGCTCACAGGCCATTAGTTACAGAGAAAAATTAAACAAGTTTTCTGTTTAAAGCTTAACTGATTTAGTAAAGAAAGGAAACGTTATCCATGCTCAGTTAATTGAAACAATCAACAGTGCAGCCAGGCACTTAAAATGAGTGACTGTTTGCAGAAAGGTGTGATAACAGCAGCATAGCTGTGAGAAACATAATCCCTGGGAAAAGTCATTATTAGGGCAGCATTGTTTTTTATGTTGGACAAAGATTATAAGGTGTAAAAATGTTGTGTGCTGTTCCCATAAACAAGGTAATGCTTTGATGACTGTACACAAGAATCTGGAAATTTTGATCAAATTCAGAGCTTCAGCAGTTCCTGGTAACCAGCATTTTCTGGAATTCATTTACGTTTCAGAGAACTATTATTACATCTGATTTTTTTTCCCCCTCATTCAAAGTAGGCTGCTATTCTGCATAAAATGTAAATACCTGATGCTGAAAAATCACTAGCACATATGTAGTCATCTTTCAATAACAAGAGATCATCTTTAAAAAGTAGAATGAAGACAGAAATATCTTGCTCCAGTACAACCACCAAGCATTAGTCACACAGAGCTCTTATATAATGCTTACGTCTTCAATCAGCATGCTGACAGCTGGGCTTCTTTGTAATATTTATTTGGAGAAAAAAACATCTCTCATTTGGCAGAAAGAGAAAAGACAAGCGTTAAGGGAAGTGCTGAGAGGCACACAGCGCTTAGCTGGTGAGGCTTACGTTTCAGAAATGTCCGTCGTCGTAGTACCAAACCAAGCCATTAGTGGAGTGGAGGTTTTTAACAGTGTCTTCCCATCTCATGGTTTCCCCACTCAAGACTCTGTGCTGCCTTTTGGATAGGCTGTTTTTGAGGAAGGGGTAATGAATGCTGCAGCCTTTGTTGGGAGAAAGTAGTTTTCCCTCTGGTTTGTTATTCTAGGTGTGAAGGCATATTTTTTTTCCACTCTGTTACGCTTTGATGAAAGGGACAGATAAAAATATCTAGCCTGAAATACTGAAGATTGATTTTTCAACTGCTGAAATACTAAATGTGATAGGTGTAAGCCTGCAAGAGCTCTAGAACGTGCGTGTCTTAACCCTAGCACCAAGAAGAGTGTTCATGCGAGTGGATTTTCACGCTGTGGCTATTAAATCATAACATTGTGTAAAAATGGGTTGAGTTCTCTGGAAGATAAACCATTTGTGTATAGGAATTTCCTTGTAATGGTCCAGTAATCATTTTGGCTACTTTTTTTTGGCTTTATCCTGTTAGTTCAAATGGATTGAATCTTTGTTCCCAACTAAACTGTAAAACCATTAAACGGAGTTGGAAGCTCACTGTGATCTCATTAGGAAAGTTGATTTCTTGTGGCTGAAAAGACTTCCATTGTAATCGAGTCCTAATCTTAATAAGTGCAAGTAATTGGAGTATTTAAGATAGCATTATTATTCTTAGCTCATTGTTTTGTATATAGACAGTGAATTGTGTTATAACTTGGTTTGGCCATAACAATGCATTAGGTTTTCAGTTCTTCTTTTCTGGAATTGTGTGTGAAGAACAGTGCCATTTTCTTTGTTGATTGGTGTTTCAAGAAGAAATTCTGCTGGCATTGAAAATGTCCCTGAGGAGGTTTCAGGACTTCTTGCTTTTACATATGTTTTACAATAAAAAAGTCAAACCACAATGTCAGAAAACCATGACTCTGACTATTAAACAGAATTAAGAGACTCTTTAAGAAAAAAATTATGTTATTACTAAATGTACTACAAATATTACTATAAAATTAGTAATAAGCAAAATTACTATTTAGCAAAAGTGGTCCTTTTCTCTAAGGAATTTCCCTCTTTTTTTTTTTTTTCCCCCCTGTTTTAACTTTACTTAATTTGTTACAGAGGTCTATAAAGTAAATAAATGGCCCAGGGAAACTGAATGGCTAGATAATTGCTTAAGAATACAAGGCTGCACACAAATAGCCATCTGATAGCAGTTTTAAAACAAAAGTAATTAATTTCTTTCACTTCATGCAATTTAATTGTGGAACTTGTTGCCTCAGGGTTTGCGGAGGTGAAAATTGCAATTGGGTTCAAAACAGAATTGGCTGGGTTAACAGAAGGTGAATCCATTATAGGCTGTTAAACCCCCTGGATACAATCCTGGCATGACTAACCCTATATCTGAGGATCACTGGAAGCTGATGAGCTGTAGGAGGAAGATCTATTTGTTTCCAGTATGTTTTTCTGAATAGCGTCTCTCTGTCACAAAGCGTGTATTTGTTGACGTATGTATTTTTTGATAAACTTATATAGGTGCATTTACATAGAGTTACTCCTTAGTGGCAATTTAAATGCTTTATAAACATTGCAGGCATGTATCCTGACTTTGAGACCATGTACACTGATACATGGAAAACTATTACTCAAAGACATCTGATGATGGATAATGAATAATATGCCTGCTGTTTGTTTGTTCTAGGACACCAAGGCTTGTTTGACCATATGTCGCACAATGCAAGTTCAAAAGTAAAGGAGAGGAAACTGCAAGGGTCTTCTCCTCCGGTTTGTCGAGGAAACTTTGGAAAACCATGTCTGAGTGCAAATAGTCATAGCTCACCATTTTTTAATCCCCGAAATGGTTTTCACACGATACATTCAGACCATAGCCCTGCGAAGCCAAGGATTGTTACTGTGGTGAAACCCAGCGGACACACACTCAGAAAGATAACCTTGCTTCTGAACAGGAGATCAGTCCAGACTTTTGAACAACTGATGGCTGACATTTCAGAAGCTCTGGGATTTCCACGCTGGAAGAATGACCGTGTGAGAAAGCTTTACAATCTGAGAGGTAGGGAAATCCGAAGCGTTTCTGACTTTTTCAGGGAAGGTGATGCCTTCATAGCTATGGGGAGAGAGCAGCTCACTTTGAAGAATCTGGAACTGGTAATACAAGAACTTTACCCTGATAATCCTTATGCTGTCAGTGCAATTCAGCAGAATGAGGAGCAGTCCCAAAAACTGAAGAGCCGGCTGTATGACAAGACTTCAAAAGTGGACAGTGGCTTTGATGAGACAGAAGTTGCCAAGAACTGCAGTGATGCCACGTCTCCCAAGCTGATAGCTAGACGTGAAGGAAAAAGTCGAGCCAAGACAAAGCAAGAGGAAAAGATGAGAACCAAAAAAAAGTGGGCTAGAGAAAGCTGGGATAGTGAGCAAGTGTTGAAGCCTTTTAGAAAAGCCCGAGAAGGTGAGAGGTCCTGTAACCAAGAGAAAAGTCCTGAGAAAAGAATAGAAGAGAGTTCAGAGGAAGTAATGAGATGTGAGAAGTGTGAACAGGAAAGGCAGGCCAGAAAGAAGTTACAAAGGGAAAGGCAGACTGAGACCTCATTTGAGAACAGAGACCTCAACACAGGCACATGTCAGAGGTACCATGTAGAAAGAAATGCAAAAGTCAAGAATTGCCGAAAATTTTCAGAAATTTCTCTGGAGGCTGAAGAAGTTGGACTGAAGAATAATGGCTGTAGGAAGACGTGGAAGCACTTACATAGGAATGTTAATGAAGAGCTGGAAAAGCAAAAAAGAAGCGCTGAGAAGGAAAGGGGTCTAGAGAGGCATGAAAGCCATGAGAAGGAAGCAGTAAAAATCAAGAAGAATGCTGTAGAAGCATGGCAGGTAACTCATGAAGTGAAGGAAGAGAATGGAAGTAGCTGTGTAACTGACCAAAGTGGTTGGCTAATGAAGGACACTCCAAGAGATGCAGAGAGACCACTGAAAACACATAGGGAGGGCAGAGAGGGGCAAAGGGCTAAAGAGGAGGGTGCCAGAAGAGAGGGGGGTGCCCTACACAGAGGGAATGATGTGAGACGACCAGAAAAAGCAGGAGAGCGCAGAATGAATAAAGAGGAAAACAAGGCTCAGGGATTAGAAAACACAAGCCGGAGGCACGCTATTAAAAGCAGAACTGATGTGGAAAACCACTACGAGATTGGCAGGACCATTGGAGATGGGAACTTTGCAGTGGTGAAGGAATGTCGCCACTGCATCTCCAATGAGATCTATGCCATGAAAATTGTTGATAAGTCCAAGCTGAAGGGGAAAGAAGACATGATGGAAAGTGAGATTCTGATCATCAGGAGACTTTCTCATCCCAATATAGTAAGCTTAATTGAAGTGTATGAGACAGAGGCTGAGATTTACCTAATCTTGGAGTATGTTCCAGGTGGGGACTTATTTGATGCAATCATAGAAAGTGTGAAGTTCACAGAACACGATGCTGCTGTCATGATCACTGACCTGTGCGAGGCATTGGTTTATATTCACAGCAAAAACATTGTTCACAGAGACCTCAAACCAGAGAATCTTTTGGTAAGTATTGGCACTAACAATGCGTATGTGCAAGAGTTGGATTTATTTTCCTTTTTGTTGTGGATCTTTGGATATTTCCTAAGGAAACACCGTGCAGATAAGAGTTACTGTAGCAGTTAAATTTGGGAAAAAGAGTACAATTTTGAAGTGACAGTAGCCTTATAGTTTGCTTTGCATATATCTGCTGTACATGGCAGATAGCATTGCCTGCAGATAGAAATTCAAACTAAAGTGACCTGGCTTTCAGACATAGTGAATTTTTGCATTTTTCTGGAAATCAGATTTGTTATTTAGCATCTGATTTTTAGGTACCCAAACTTGAACGCTTTGCATGAAGCATGCCCTGAATCATAAGGCATCTCCCTTGCAGACTGAGATATATTAAAATTGCCAATTCGACTTATGAGTGTGACGGTCTCTCTGTCTACTGCAGTCACATTCTGCAGACCAGCATGCTAGTCCTCTCCTGTAGCAGTTTCTGTCTTGTGGTAATTTTGTCTCTCAAGAGCAGAAGTATGATGCAGTTAGCTGAAATAATCTGAAACTGCAAGATGAGTATTTCAGTGAATTATAGCACTGAGCACTAAACCCCCATGCGACAAAGCAAAATTCTTTTTTGCAACACATTTCTGAGGCTACGTTCTTTGCGTCCAGCACTAAAGTCAGTTGAGTTACTCACATGAGATCCCTTGCCAATCATATATCTTATGCTTTTGCACTAAAGTTCCAAAATTCTGACCAGACAGAGGCCATGTATTTGTAAATCTAATTTGATCTGCTGGTGAAAGATCACAGTTAGCCAGAAATGGGTTACAGGCAATTTGGTCTTATGTGCCATTCAGTTCTTTAATGCAATTAATGTTGGGAAGTTATCACTGGGAATTACAGGCTACAGTATCTTTTTTGTCTGGTAGGATAAGCAGAGATTGGACAAGGATGGGCATGAAAGGTTTGCTCCTGAACCTTTTAATTCACCAACAGCATGTATACTATGTCCTGATATGTAAGCTGCATAGTCTGAAGACGATTATTGGTATGTGGGTTGTGTGTAAAGAAAAGATGGGGAGTGCGAGTGGCTGGTTTGTGGAAAAAATTATGTTTCTAGGCCCTGCCTTCATGCTCATTGTTTTAATATGAAAGCAAGACTTCACTCAGAACTGAAGGGTGCTCTTCCAGACGCTGGAAGAACTTCCTTCCTCTTTACTGAAACTAAACTAGTGCGTGTGAAACGCCTGAGACTAGATGCTTCATTTCCCTTTATAATTTGTAATCATCACAATGACGCAGATAGGCAGAAAGAGGGGCATGATACAGATCTGCTCTGATTGTTTTCACATTTAATTCGATGCACTGCTAAACAGAGTTTGCTGGGCAGCGGCAAAGTTTTGTAGCATTGAAACAAATATTGTTGCCCGTTCTGGCTAAACATACGTGTCAGAAAATATTTTGCAAAGACAGACTTGCTCCTGGCCTGTAGGGGTTTCGCCATATCAGAGCGGGGTCGCCCAAACTGAATGCAAAAGGACTTTTATCTGTTGGAGTTTCCCCTTGCTGCTAGTTGGCTGAACAGCTACCTTAAATGTAGTTTACATAAAGCTTCCCATTGAAAAGTTAAGGAAAGTAGTTAGTGCAACAAGTCAAATGAAGTTGTAAGCTGTTGAAAGTATTTTGTGTGTTTGTAGATGTTCTAGTGGAACAGAACTCGCCCCTGCCATGTAGTGCAGAGCAATGGGAATTGCACCAACTCTGTCCGGCATCACAGGTCCCCTCTGTAAGGAATTCTTCTCAGAAGGGTATATTTAACCACAGTGTTTGGGAATGGTGCTTTACCAAGGATTTCATGCGCTATCCAATAAGTATCTTAGTGAATACAAGTCATCTGAGCAACTTCAGAGTCACTGAAGCAGTAATGGAGTGGGAAGGACTGCTGCTGCTAATCTTAAAGTGTCAGCCAGAGCTGAACAGTAACAAGTGTTGAAGAAAAATTTATGGTCTCATCCAGCGCTGGCAGGTCAGTCTTCTGGAGGTAGTCTTCTGGAGAGGAACCACAGTGCTGTAAGTGCTGGCATCCTGAAGCATCACCTTTTCTGTTCTTGCTTGTGGGATACCTTTCTCTTCACTTCAGATTGCTACTCTGTAGATACTTAAGTCTGAGCTAGCCCCCCTAGGCTCTCTATGTACATAATGTATATGCCTATTTCTTTTCACTAGGCTGTTGACTCATTTGTCCTATTTTGGATGTCTGCTTTTGATCAGGTGAATCCTGTCCTTTCTCTTTCTTGCCTGTAATTTTTCCATATTTCTTAAACCTTTCTAGCAAATGGAGAACAGAAAAGAGCCTTAGTTTTTTTTACTGAGGCAATGTGTCTGTCTGCTATAAACCTGCTATGTGTGAAAGTCTAATCCTGTTTCTAATGACTTTTGAGCCTACTGGCTAATTTCCATGAGAGCTGACAGAATAGCAATCTGAGGAAGAAATATTTCTACAAGTTTCATGAAAATAAGCAGCTGGGGAAAGAAGGGAAACCCTATTTCTGCCTCCCACAGAAGGAAAGGTGGAAATACACTTTGGTGTCTAGTGAAATGGAAGATTATTCACGCAGGACAGAGTTGGAAACCTGGTTTAATTAGTTCCTTCTTGTTCCTCTTGTAGAACTATCCTCTAGTTATAAACTTCTGAAACAATCCACGCTTACTTCTTTTTGTGAGGCAGAAGGGTGGTGACTGCGTTACAGAAACAAAATCTGTTTGACAGCTGGTATGAAGACAGCTGCTCTTACTCCTTCCTGTCAGCTAACACAGTCACCTGATTTAAAACGAGATGTTCAGCAATAAACCTTTGCTACCAAAGATGAGCAATATGGTGTATTTGGCCGCACAGAAGAAGCCAGTCACTGCTTTAATGCTGTCTTGAGGAGCAAAGGAGAAACAGAATTTGCCAATGAGATTCTTAGCTAAGGGACTTCTCAATTCCACTACTAGAAGTGGCACTTCTTGAGTTGTGGCTTAGATATTGGTTTCAAAGTGAAGTGGCTGTTTTTCCAATTTATGGCTGTAAAAGACCCGAAGTCACATCCTTGCCCCTTCTTCTATCTGTGATTGTAAATTTGCCTGCTTGTATGCTTCCAAAACATGCCAGTATGGTAGTTCTGTGTTTAACATGGGACTTTATAAATAATATTATAAGTGTTATAGCTTTTCATGCATTAGCATTTTTCTTCTTTTTTTTCTTTTTCTCTAAGTTTGCATATATATCTGAGAACTTCAAGTTTAGCCCTTCTGTCGTGTAACTTCAGTTTTGTGATACTATCTCCAAATACACAATGCACTGTCAGAAGTTTCCAAGTGCATTTGAGTTAAAATCTTGTTTAACTAGTTGCATGTCAGGAGCTTTCAATATGATAAGCCTACACGGAATTTTCTGTAAGATTTTTCAGAGAGGTATTCTTCTAGCTAGCTAGTAAAGTCTGAAACTCAAATAATAAGCAGTGCTTTCTCTTTAGCTCTGAGTATCTCTTTCTAATATACAAAAAGTCCTGCGAACCAGCTTGCTGTCCTGACGTCTATGTGAAGAATCTGTGCTACCTTACATATGTTTGTACAGAGGAATATTAATGCTGTAAATCACCATCTTTAACATCCTGTTGAATTTCACAGTGTAGATGAGACGACATACAGGAACATGAAAAGGTGACAGTCATCAGCAGGCAGAAGAAAGAAAAAGGATCATTTTGCCCCTTCCTTGAAGATGGACTTGGCTTTCTGTTAGAGATGGCTATATTAAAATCTTCCAGATGTATGACTGGGCTAGTTAGAAATCCAAAACAGTATTCGGATATCCAGCTATTGGGATCCTTCATCTGAGCTCACTCCATCTGAGCTGAGTTTGAGTTGTTCTGAGCATAGTATTACTTAAGATGCTGAGGAGCTTTGAGCTGAGGTTTTCAGGCATGCTGACAGATTACACGCTTTCTTTGAAACAATTGTTGCAAAGCTGTGAAAATATATCCAAGTTCTTACCTGCTTGGTTGCTATGTGAAATGAAAGCTCGCTGGTTTTGTCCTGAAAGAACAGACAGTGCAGTATTGCCACCTTGTGCTCTGTTGAGAGATTAGAGTTTGATGTCCTGATAAGAAGTGCAACAGTGTATTTCACAAAGCACGACAACCAGATGTTCCCTGCTGACTGTGGAATTGGGATTAGGACCAGTGACCCACCCTGGTTTCTAAATGTTTATGTGAGCCTTTCACTGTTATTTGTCTTAGAATGATAGCATGCAGGTTATTAGTTGAAATTGAAAAAATGAATTTTTCCATTGTAATTTTTTTAGTATACTACTACTATTACCCATATGCTTAGAATATAAATTCTGCGTATAGATGCTGCTCTAGAAAGTAACTGTTACCTTTATATAATTTATTTTTTGTTTTTCTCCTCTAATACGTTCACAGCACATCATGACAAAGCATTGTGAAGTTGTCTACTTTAAAAAAATAAAAAGAAGATGGCTATTACATTTTACCTTTCTCCTGCACAAGTTTTTGCTGCCTGCCTGTAGTAAACTTTATTTTCAGTTTCACAGTAAAAACTACTTTTTTTAGGAAAACAACAAAACCTCAAAACTTTTTACTTGATGGGAACTAGAAGAGTGTTTATAATTTCAATAAAGACGACAAGTGGGGATTATTTGGCTGTAACGTAGGAGAGCAAATTTTGTCCCATCTGTGCCCTTAGCTATCTTATAACAGAGACCATCTTGAATTTTTGGCACTCTCAAGCACTGTCTGATGGCAAAGCGTGAAGTGTAAAAGCATGGTGTATGTCTGCCATACCATATTCCAACTTGTCCCTTCAAAACCTGTGAGTCCAGATTTCCTCGAGTTTCCTGTAGACGTGTTCACTGCAGGCCTTTTCCCCTTAGTTAAAGAGATAATTTCCCATTTAAAGCAACATGACATTTTTTTACTTCTTAAAGAATGTTTGACTATCAGTCACCAGTGTTACGAATATTGACGTATTTTATTACCTTGCTACCTTATTCATGCGTTGACCTTTGAATATTTTGTTTCTTAAAATAATATTTAATTAACCACATTACAAATTAAAGACTTGATACAAACAAAATTAGAATGGGAAGAAGTGTTTTAACTGCTTTCCAGGTGGATGTAGGAGATGGAAACTGCAGAAGACACACATTTAGGAGAATGTTCCACTTGGATTTATTTCTCCAACTCTTAATAGGTAATGACTGTGACTCATATTTGTTTTCAGGGCAGCAGGTAGAGTAGCGGAGTAATTTGCAAGTAAATGAAGATTTTTTTTTTTTTTAAGACCTTTGTGAGGGAGGTATGTTTTTTGGGTAACATTGTGAGGTCAATAACTTACCTGGGAATATCACACGTAAGCATAAAGAAGTTTACAGCTTTCCTCTTTGCTTTCCCAAAGGGAAAGAAGAATTTGTTTTCGCAAGGGAAGAAAATTAACATTGAATTCACTCTCCTTTACTTTTCATCCTCCTACCTTTTCATTTCTTGAAAGTTAGTGTGCCAGAGTTTTTAGAACAAAGTTTCCTTTTTCCATTATTGCTTCTCCTCTTGAATATATACACCAACTCAGTAAGTGCATACAACTTTCTAAACACTTTTTATCAAAATGCTGTTTCCATTTTGTTTTGATTTACTTGAAAGCATTCCTATCCGGACTTACTTCTTCCTGCTTATTATTAACTGCTCCCTTTATGTTTTGCTGTCATCAAATGTATCTCGACTAAATATGTACATTTTTTGTTGGGTATAGGTTCAGCATAACGCAGATAAATCTACTACACTGAAACTAGCGGATTTTGGCCTTGCAAAGCAGGTTACGAAACCCATATTTACTGTGTGTGGAACGCCAACATATGTTGCCCCTGAAATACTTGCTGAGAAGGGTGAGTGTATATGTTTATGATTTTTAGTAAATCATACGATTACTCTGACCTTTCTAATCATGGAAATATTCCAGAATGCTTCAACCTATCAATATGTCTTTACAGGGTAGGAGATTGGCCAGCAGTATAATCTGTGAAAAGAAAGAAAACCTTTTAGCTTTCAAAAAACATAAGCATGATACCAGTCATATCTGCAGTTTTAAAGTCTATGGTAATGTAAATGTGATATGTTTCAAGCAGGCAAGACATAAAATACCATAGATGATAATTGCTGAAATGGGGTCAAGGAGCAGGAGTGTATGTTACAACCTGACAATAGTCACCTCCATTTCATGTTTGCAACCCAAACAACTACCCAAGGCCCCTAACGATGCAAAAAGATTGTGAACGTGTATGCCATAATCATGTAACAACCCCAGAGGTGCTTCAAACCAGAAGAAGGTTTGGAGATTTCACATCCAAAAAGATTCAGACCTGGAAAAGCCTCAGTTCTGTTGATGACTCAAGCAAAGCTATTTCTGCTTCTTGTTCTGTGGAGCTAGGTTGCACATCTCCAGTTATATTCTGTTTCAATGGAAACTTGGCACTTTCGTAGTGCTTTTTGGAAGGGAATCTGAGAAAGGCTGTTTTGGTCTGTGTTTTTTCAATTTGGCTCCAATTGACACTGGCCTTATGAGACAAACAATGTTTGTAGAACATGTTAAGGAAGAGAAGGACTTTGTGAGAAACTGTAGTTATTAGCAAACAGTACAGCTCAGGTTGAAAACATGGTGTACCAGCCACTCATTCTTTGGCTGACCTCCTTTTTTCAAGAAGCTGAGCAAACCTTCTGCGTTTCTTGGAGAATGGAATGAAACAGAAACACTTGCCTACCAGTTGTGAATTTTCTCTCTGTTTTGGAACAGGACTTCTGGTAAAAGATAGTTAGCCTGTGGTTTGTCTTTTTCTCCTAAGGTTATGGGCTCGAAGTTGATATGTGGGCAGCTGGTGTGATCCTTTACATTCTCCTCTGCGGTTTTCCCCCTTTTCGCAGTCAGGAACGTGATCAAGAAGAGCTGTTTCAGATCATACAGCTGGGTCATTATGAGTTCCTTTCCCCATACTGGGACAATATTTCTGCAGGTAAGATTCATCACTTATACCATATCTGAGAAATGACAGACCTCTTCCCTGGAATGCTTTGGACACATAAATCCCACTTTAGGACAGAACAGGGAACTTCGGGGTTGTCTTCAAGGTCTGCTTTGTGTGAATCTGTATTTGCTGCGAATCTAAAGTTAGTCCTCTGGTAGTATCAATGGCTGTGAATATGAGTGCCAGGTATGATTGGTTTAACTGATTACTCCCTTTCTGAGGCAAGACAAAGGATTTTCCTTACTTTTCTTGTATGAATTGCCTCCATGAAACAGGCATCGCAATCATATATTAGGTTCATAATCTGAGAAGGAAGTCCTTGCTCTACAGAACTCTGTGCGGATGTTTCCACTGAAATCAATGGGGTCTGCATTTAGTAGTCCCTTTCCTCCCACAGGCTAATACAGTGTCTTTGCGCATTTTTCAAAACTGAAAACCCCCAAACCGCGCTCTCCCTGTAAAACTAAAAAAAAACAAACAGCCCCCCACCGCCCAACCTCTTTCTCAATGGAATTCTAAAACTTCTATGCTCTTTGAGGGGCCAGGTACTCAACACTGATTCCTGTGAATGAGAGCACCTAGCCTGATGCCTAGAGCATGCTTTCAAGATTAAATTTCCTTCCCTTTTTTTTTTTTTAATCTCTCTGTAGGGCAGAAAGGTATCAATAAAGGACATGGTGGAGATGTGACATCTCCTGCCTGAAGTTCTAAATCCAGTTGCTAGAATATCTCCTGGGATAGCCACAAAAGTCCTTATGGTAAAATTAATAGGAAAGATGAGAAGGATGTTTTGTGTAGGTATACCTGTCTGCATCATCATGTCACTTTTCTCCTCCCTCCTTTTCTGTCTTTCATAATAGCAGCAAAAGACCTCATAACTAGGCTGTTGATAGTGGATCCCCAAAAGCGCTACACAGCACGACAAGTGCTTCAGCATCCTTGGATCAGAACAGCTGGAAAAACTAACAACAGAAATTTGCAGAGGGAAGTGACAAAAAATATTGAGCGTCATTTCCGGACCCAGCGCCGAAAGGAAGCTGCAGATGAGGACACCTGAAGTCTCTTCAAGCTAATCTAGACTCTTTTTTTTGGAATAACTAATGACTTTTGATTTCTTTTCTAAAAGAATTGAGTCTTTAGTATACAGTTGTTGCTGGCCATTGCAAGGCCTTTTTTTTGTTTGTTTGTTTTTTTTTTTCCCTGTCTGTGAGAAGAGGACAGGAATGAAATTCTGATCCACCTCCCTCTGATGTTACTTGGAAGTCTTGCTGTTGACATCAGTGGGAACTGGATCTTTTCTGGAGGGTATCCTTTATTTTTTGTTACAGACTGATTAGGGCTTTTACATTACAAAATATGCATCATTTTTAGGTGACAAATGTTTGCTTCTGTGGCCAGCATTAGTGATGACAGTGAGGTGCTTTCTCTATCTTTCTGTAGAATACCTTCTAGGAGTTTTGTGTCTAGTGTTGTCAAAATGGCTGTCTGCATACACATCCTGAACTAATCCTCTGGATTTTTTTTTCACCAATTCGTATAAGCAATGGAGAAGGTGTGGGGATAAAACAGTAAAGAAATATATCCCTTAGCTGTAAGATATGTTAAGTAAAAGGTAAGATACTATTTATTAAACTGTGAGAGAAGAAAAATCATTATAGACGAAATTAGATATTTTATCATCTCCCTTGGCAGCATCTTTTGTTAGATGTTCTCAGAGACAGGGCAATAGACTGTACCATGTATCTGTTAAACTACGGTAGTTTCTGTGTAGTATGGTAATTTTATGTCTGTGAGAAGAGATGGAAAGATGGCTGATGTATTTTCAGGACTGTAATAGTACCTTGCAAAGTACCTTTCTTCCTACTCTTGGAAGTAGAAAGCTAGGCAATTTCTAAGATAACTTTACTTCTTTTTATGAAGGTACAGGTATGGAATTATTACCCATACTTTTTTCATGCTGAATTTCTTCTCGGGAGCCATCTATATGCGTCTGTGACTCGTCCATGCTGATGGAGAGAAAACTAGGAAGCTGCTTTTGCGACTTTCTTATGTTAGCTCTCATCTTTATTGTTCTCCTTCCATCAACACACTTGGCAGCTGAATTGCTTTTATACACTTTTTTTGGTGTAGCTTACCAACTTCCTTTTTTCTGTTGCCTCCCCTGAGAACTTTGTCTCATTGCTTCCATGAGAATGGGCAATGGGATGAAATTACATTGAAGTTAAACTCAGAAAAAACAGCTTCTTGCTATTCTATGGAAAGGTCCCCTGGGGGAAGTGTCAGATGCTTCATTGCTTATGTTACTTGTAATTGGATTGGATGGAGTTTTAAAGAAATCCTATGGGGAAAAATTCAGTCCTGAAAATGGTCATGACTTAGAACAGCTTCTGGATCTTGGGATTTTTGGTTAACTAATCAAACCCGAAAAGCATATTTGTTGTCCGTTTTATAATGCTTTGTCCATGAGTTTCATATGTTAGCAAATAATATTAACATTAAAAATATCAGTAGTATTAGTGTTGAATTCATGGTTCATAGAAATGAAATGAGAGTATTCTACAGTGGCAGAGCTACTGTTCTGCATATATATTTCATAGTGAGGGAGGTCAGAAGCATTTCGGAATCAGAACTGCATTTTCATAACTATATGAACCAGAATATTATTTTTACTGAATGATAAAATTATGTAACCTTTTTGAATTACCAAAAAGTGTGAGTACTGCCATCATGTTTCTGTTTCAACTTGTGATTATTTCGCAGCAAGAATGATGTGTCAAGTAGAGACAACTTAGCTCTAAATGGAGAATTGCACTTTCAGCTTCCTGGTGCATTTTTAACGCATATTGGATTAAGACTTGCTGTGGAATTCAACTATTTATAAAACAAAATGTCAAATCTTTACTGTATGCCCAAGTAGTATTTATTTGATGTATCATACGTCTGCTTAGAGGCCTTGAGTCAGGAAAACTTCTCCTTTTCCTGAAAACAAGAATGGATTTAAGTGCTTTCCTGAGTTAAGGCCATGGGTAACCTCATATTCTAAATGCATTATGTGGCTGTTGTGTATGACTGATAACTTATCTCCTAATTTAAGTCTATATTGGATAGGAAATTGGAAAAATAGATTCTGACTTGCACAATTATTTATTGTAATTCTCTTAAAATTTTTAATACAGTAGTTTAGAATTGAAGTTTGAAGTGACAAAACCATACTTTATCAGGAATGAATTTTCTGGTTTGGAGATTCTGAGTTAAGAGTTACCTTGTTCCCTTTAAGAACTTGTCTACAGCCTTTTTCATGGTACAGAAGGTAGAGGATTTGCTTGTAATAAATGTAATTATTTTTACAAAGATCCAGCATTTGCAGCTACATAGCAGGCAATGTTGACAGTTTTAATGAAAATGAAATGCATCAACATGTAAACTTATTTATCAGGCTCAGAGGAAAACTTCTCTGGGCCCAATGGAAGGACAGAACTGAACAGGTCAGATATATTTTTTTCCAGCTTTGCTAGAAACGGGTACTTGCAAAAATAACGTTCATATGATGACTGACAGGTGAAAGATTTATTATTGACCAGTATTTCAAAGGGAAGCGTAACGTCGTATGATTGAAAATGCAAGTACTTAGGCTGTTGAGGTAAAGGCCAACGCATATCCTGGTGTGGCACTATTTGTACTCTAAACAAAAAAAGAAGAGAGAGACCGTATAAAGTAGCCCTTCACCAGAAGGCAAGAAGAATATAAAAAGAAAAAAAAAAAGAAAAAAAATGTGGGAAAACCAAGAGGAGTAAGAGCTAAAGAAAAACTTTTTCCGAATGTTTTATTTTCTTGAAGTAAATCAATGCTGTAGACAAATCTAACAAAGCTTTAATGAGAGAAATAAAAAACATTTTTTCCTTTGTTGATGTGTAACATTCCCGTGATTGTTCTCCAGTTATTTCTGTGTGTCTGGGGATAATTGATTCTAAGCAGAAACTACAGCAACTGAGAGCATTCTCCCCCCTGGATAATTCCCTAACAACAGGACAGGACAAGAATCCCTTAAAAAAAGTAAAACTGAAACTGCTGCACCATGTAAAGAACTGAGCAATTAGTCAGCCATGCAAGGATTTTATGAAAGCCTGTAAAAATAAATTTCCATGACTCGCACTTAATGTGCAAAGGACTGGTAGTCAGAGCTGAGCGCTAAAATATAAAAATAATAAATCTCTCCTGGCAGATGAAGCTCTACATAAATTAATGGCAAATGACTGGGAAGGTAGTAAAATGAGAGTACTCTAAAACCTGTGTCTAGATACATAGCTCTTCTGTAGAAGGGATACAGAAAATACGAGAAAAACTTGAGCAAAGCCGTTAATGGCCAGGAAAATGAATCGAATTTGTCTGTCAAAACAGACCACTGGATATGGTGGTCACTGAAAATGTTCCCATATTTCTGTAATGGTGACTTTACTTGCTTTGAGGGTAGGATCTTGAATGCTATCAACAAGGGGTTTAGACTTTTACCTTCTGTGAAATAATGATAATATTTAGGCTTCTGAAAGTTTAGAAAATCCCACCCTTCACTTAAATACTTTATTTTCTGCTGGTTGTTAATCCAGTTTTAAAGGAAAACATAAATGGAGATCTATATGGTATTAAGCCTATGTGCTTATCATCACCAAAGAGTCCCTCTCAAGCATCTTCCAAAATGAGTATTTTTGAAATTAAAAAATATGTTCCTATTTCTGGGGACGTGTCTATCAGTTTGAGCTGGTTGGCACCAATGGAAAATCTTGCTCAATTAGTTTCACATACTGTTGCTTGACTGAGCGATAAGCAATCCTCTGTGGCTTTTCCAATGTGTGTGTGTGTGTGTGTGTCGATGACACAAATGCTTTGTTTTGTGATTGCTGTTCTGTAGTGCTACTTCTTGGAGGTGCTTCTGGGATAATGCTGTATGTCTGTGGTGCTACTTTTCCATGCAGCCTAAAAAAGAATACATTATTTTAAAAGTGTTATTAAAAATAGTACCATTAGATTGTTGTTTTAATGAATCATTGATGGGGCTGGTACAATTTGTACCAATAACTAATCAGCCCTTACCAGAAGCCCTTACTTTGGAGGGACCCTTGGACTGACCCCGTATGGGGGATTCTGGGAAGACAATAGACAAAAGAATACATCAGCTTCATTCCAGCAAGGTAAATCATGAGGAGCCTGGCTTTAAATTTGTTTTCAATATTAAATTGACTAGTAGAGGAATGACAAGGACAGGACATCTGTGTTTGTAAGTGTAAGCCTCCTTATTAGTAGGGTACAATGGTTCAAATTTCCAGAGAAATATACATATATATATATACACACACACAGACACACACACGTATGCATATATATAGAGATATGTATATATTTGCCTGTTTAAACTAACTTAGTGAGTCCTAGACTAGAAGCTTTTCAATTCACGTACACTTACCCACTTGCAAATTTGAATAGAACATTTCTGTATGGGCTGATCAAAGCATTCTTTATTTTCATTGGTATATTAGTATTAAACTCGATAATGTTACCAGTTTTTAGGTATGACCTAAACATTTTTATTTTTATTTTTTCCTGGTGAAAAACAACTTGCAAAACTGGTACTGTATTTATCCCTATATGTCCACATGTATACAGTTTTACAAGTTGACTCTGCTTATTTTGTATATGCTTGTGTGTTTGGAAAGAAATCCTTTGCATTGCTGAGGTGTGTGGATATTTTCCTGTTAACGTGAAGCTAGTGTTAGCTAGCAGTAATGACAGTAGTACTTCTGGGGATCCTCAGGGGGCTTAATGAAGTTTAGCTCCTGTTTATTAATTAGGCATTAGTGCCTTAATGCTTTCGCAGATGGCTTTGCGATAGGCCTTCTGTAAAAGCACAGCAACCTGAATGCCTTCCTTGGAGACCTGCCAGGGCAGGCAGGAGGACAGCCTCTGTCTGTGAGAGGGTCGTGTTCTCTGTAAGGGGCCAGCAGTTGGTCATGAATGCATGCTAGTAGCAGAAAGCACAAAAATGAGAACCTCCCTGGACCCTCAATAGTCAGAAATCAGAAGGTAAATACACACTAGATAGGCAGAGAGAGTGACTTGCTTAAGGTGCATGGAGGCAGGATGCAAACCTAGCTTTCCCCAAGTCCTAGCCAGAGGCCTAGCTGCTGGAGCATGCAGTGTGGGACAGGTGGGATCCAGGATTCAAATCCCTTTGCTCTCACTCCCATGGGAATTGGCTCATCTCTCACTCCTCTACGGTATCTCAAGAGTTTGCAGCATGCACAGCTCTTGTGCCCTCTGATCCTGCTCTGTAACCTCAAGAATCAGGTGCAGGGGGGTGGCCTTTCTGTGAGCTGATACCGAGGTGTGTGGTGCTGGGAGCTGTAAGGTGAGAGGAAGACTGCAACCAGGGTTCCTCCATGGAGCCTGGCAAGGAGGTCTTGCGGTGTTCCTCCTCCCCTCTAACGCTGGCAACCAGGACAGACGCACGTCTCATCGGCTGAGCTGATTCTACGCTGGCTTGAGCATAGGGAGAAGAAGGGCTAGTGAGGAGGTCTGGAGGTCAGGGTGCTCTTGCCATCCCACAGAGGGTCAAGAGTTCCTGACTAGCTTTGTTAGAGCAAAACCCTGCCTGACAGCAGCTTGTCCTTTCTCTCCTGTGGCCCCAAGTGGCCCTCGGTACAGGGTGACCTTCTGTCCTTGAAATCTTTGTGCCTTGTCTTTGCTGTGTCCAGCTTTGAACCTATGTTACTAGGAACAGTAATAAAAGTACTTAGTGCTTGCACTGCACTTCACTTGTTCAGAACTCTTCACAAACATGAACTAATTAATCTTCACTGAGCCTTTATGAGGCAGGTATTTATTCCAGCTGAGTATTCATAATTAACGATATGGTAGACATAATCCTGCTGTCAATCAGCCTAATTGACTTAAATGCCTAATAGGGTAGGTTCCCTCAAGTAAGTTCAGTTTAAAGAAAGGTTAGGTTAGATAGGGGAATCATGCAGATGGGAAAAGAGGAGTGCAAAAGGAAATCCTGAGCCAGAGAAAGGTAAGGGCTGCTGTTCGTATTGTTTTAAAAGCAGCCAGGAGACAGGAGCTATGGTGTCATTGCTACAAAGTATCTTTAAAGAAGCTTGAAGTAACATGGAATTAAAAAGCAAATCTCAACTGGGTTTGTTTGTACAGGAGAAATGCAAAGAGAAAATCACTCATAGTAGTGAGGAGTGAAAGTTTCTCAAGTTGAAGTATGGCTCAGCACAAGAACCGTTTATGGAGCTGGATCCTTAGCAGCTTTGGGGCAGAGATGTCTGAGACTTTTCTCTAGCTAGGTGAACTGACATTCATAAGCCTCCATGAACCAATTATTGCCACAAGATGGTATGTCCCAGTTCAGCAATCCTCCCTTAACTTCTGCCACTTTGCTTCTTTGGGGAATTTCCTTCATTTCCATAGGCTGGAAGGAAGCATGAAGAACAAAGGAATAGCACCAAGGAATTGGGAGAGGCTCCTCTCTGCGTAAGTAAAGGTTTAGAGTTTCTCATCTGGGCTTTTATTTTGCTAGAGAATGACGACTACCTTTTACGCCTTACAGGAGGCCATCATGTAAGTTGCTGGAGGCTGACATGCACTAACATAAACATTTTTTACTATAGTGATGAATGGTAGTTAATATTTAAAGTACCAGTAGATGGTACTCAAAAGATAAAGCATGCTCTGGCTGGGACGCATGGGTTTACACAGGTGGTAACTGGAGATTGAATGACAAGCTGCAGTTTTTAGTTATGACCACCTGAACATATGAATGCATACTCTAAGCATTACGTATACAGCAGATATAAGGAATGGATAAAATTACTTTCTTCCTAGCCAGCTCAGATACTGTGGAG